ATAAACTTTGGTCTTATTTTCAATTAGAAATGTCTTTAAAAATTTGAGCTGGGTCCCACACCTGCGAAGTGAGGACACCTTACGTTAGCAGATGCTCTTTCTGCTTAGTCTGCTGATGGAAATCATGGCACCTTCAGGAATATACACAAGTATGCCTCCTTTCCTGTATAAGGCCCAGGACCACCAGGTTGTGATGTGGGCATCTCCCAAGAATAAAATGCCTCTTGCTTTTCCTCAAAGATTGGCTGAAATTGACAACTCTCAGACTGTGTGTTAGGAAATTGCTTGGGATTCTACTGCTTCTGAAAAAGGCTAATAAAAAGAAATGCAGCAAACACATTGTCAGTAAAATTTCAGATACTAAACTACGAAGAGAAAGCGGAGAGATTAGCATGTGAGAAAAGTAAGGACCTAGACAGATGATGCCCTGGGGGCTGCCAAGGGATCCCCCAAATGGCCCCCCTTGCTCTGCTCTCTTTTCCTCTTTGTCCGTCCGACTGGCCTCTCAGCTTCCACTTAACCCTTCTCATCAAACAGAAAACAAATAAATGGTTTTTTAAAAAGTTTAAAGAACAAAAATGATTTTCAACATAAATCAAGGTAAGTTGTTGATTCCTAGTCCTCATGCCTGGTCTGCATTTGTCAATAGTGTGGGGTTATGTTTTTTGGTCCGTTCTAAGTTCAGGTTCTGGCTTTGTATCTTTCAGGCTGAGGGACATTGGGAGCTAACCTGTGATGGTTAATAGTATGTGCCAACTTGATTGGACTAACAGGTGCCCAGATAGCTGGTTAAATGCTATTTCTGCATGTGTCTGTGAGGGCATTTTCGATGAGATTAGCATTTGAATTTCTAGAGAGCAGAAAGCAGAGAGCCTTCACCAGTGTGAGTGGGCCTCAACCCATCTATGCAGGGATGGGAACAAAACGGAGGAAGACGGAATAACTGAACCTGACTGTCTGAGCTGGGACACGGACTTTCTGCCCTCAGCACTTGTGGTTCTTAGGCCTTCAGATTCAGACTGGATCCACACCATCAGTTCTCCAGCTGTTGGGCCTTTGTACTACACCACTGGCTTTCCTGGGTCTCCAGCTGGCACATGGCAGATCGTGGGAATTCTCAGACCCCATAATCATGTGAGCCAATACCTACCATAAATCTCTTTATATATGTCTTTTATTGGTTCTGTTTCTCTGGAGAACCCTGACTAATGCATTATCTAATTAACCTGACTCTCAGCCTCCTTATCTGTGATTGATAATAATGACAGCTACATAGGCCTGCCTGACACATAACATGGGCTCAGTAGATGACACTTCAAATTCCCATCTGACCTCACTAACCCTTCCCCAAGCCCTAGGGAAGGTCCGGTTCTTTCCATGTGGCTGGGTCCTGGCCAATGTGAGTCCTGCTGGGAGGCAGAGAGGAAGCAGGTCTTAGTTCATGCCCACGCCTGGCCTTTGGTCCCTTCTGACCTCTTTGGATATGTGACTTAGTCACTTTCTGGGAAAGTAACAGGTTTAAAATGACTCCAGGTCATCGTCTGTGTCAGGGACCAACAGAACAGGGGCTGCCCCACCTGTCTCCTTACCAGGGGCTTTTAGAGCAGAACACAGGGCCCGCACTACGCCCCTTTCCTCTCCTCTGTGGGGAACAGGTTCTGGGAAGCCAGGCTATGAAGAAGGCCACTGTAGAGCCTCTTGCCATTGTGCCTGCAAACTCTCCCTTGACTTGCTCTTTCCCATTCCTGGGTGACACTCTGGAAATTCTGTGTGGTTCTTCTGGTCACTTTTCTGTGCAGAGGGCTATCAGCCCCAAGCTTGAGCCTCCTGTAGACTGGGTTAGCTGCCAGCTGGCTTCTCTTTCACCCTTTGCTTCCTCCTCTTCTGTGGCTGCCATCTGTGTCCCTTGTGGCGCTAGCTCAGGCAGAGAGGAGGGACAGGAGTGTAGCTAAGTCTTTCTTGCCTGTCTTCCTTCAGGACCCGCTGGGCTCACTGGAGGTCCCAGTGCTGGCCTGCTGTCTGAGGAAGTGCTTTTGTAGGTCTTCAGAGCTCTCTGCCAGTGGAGAGGCTGTGTCCTCAGGTCCCTGGGCTGTGGTGGTGGCTTCTGTCACTGACTGCTCGTGTTCACCCTCAGCCCTGGCGTCCGGGGCTGGCTTTCTGTGTGGTTTCCACTGTAGGTGAATCCTGAAGCCACCTTACTGGGGCCTCCTCCCTGAATCCATGCCTGGCCCTTGGGCAGCGTGTGGGATCCTGGCCTCACAGCCCACCACACCCCCGTGAACCCCAAGCTTGCCAGCTTCTGCCTTCAGGCCCTTCAAGCAGGCGTCAGAAACTCATCCCTGCAGCCCTCAAGCCCCAGAGATGATGTACCACACCTCTCAGCTCAACATGGAGAGAGAAGACACGGGCAAAAGGCGGAGCACACTGTGCTTACACAAAGGCCTCTTTTGTGGACTCTGAACCCCATGCGAATTCTTGGAGCTGGTGACAACTATGGAGCACCCTGTTGGCCAGTCCTCCATAGCTGCGTGGATGCCTTGCTAAGATACTCTCTGCCTGCTCCCCCAGTCCATGGGACTCAGCTAATACCCCCCATGCCCAGGAAAATGTGTGTTTTGTGCCTGGTTCCATAGGCCTCCCTCCTTGACTGGCCATGCAAAGGTTCCAGCTAACTCAAGGATGCAGCTGGCTACAGAAGCAACTCTGTGACGTATTCCTGTTGCATGTGCTCTGTCCTCTTCTGGGTTTGCTTTTTTTTTTCCTGCACTGGAAACACCAGTTGCTGAAACCCTAGAAGTGCCTCCCGCATCACTGGCACAGGATTCCGACCTGAGCATCAGTGGCGTCTGTGGGGACCAGGTAGCTGTGTCCTCACTCCCATCACCCAGCCCAGAGTGGTGGTTTCATTTTCAGGCTGATCTGTCACCTGAAGTTTTACAAACTATTGTATTTGAGGGATTTCATGAGGCTGTAGGGCCTGGTCAAAAGAGAAGACTTAATGATCAGACCAAATTTTCACTTTTTGGCTCCTCCATTTATCATTTTTGTGTTCCTGGGACAGTTATCTAATCCCATTGAAGCTCAGTTTTCCAATCTGTGGATGGGGACTGGAGGCCTGTGAGGTAGGGTTGGAAAGGCGGGGGTAGAGTGCCCAGCATAGGGCCCTCTTATGGTGTCACTGTCTCCACAACCCTGCCCCATCCCACCCTGCCCGTGCTCACCTCCCTCCTGCCACCCGATCTCCGGCCTCACCTCTCCATTCTTTCCTGATGGGGTCACTCGCATCCACCCTTGGTTGTTTAGTTTCCCCTCTCTGCCCATTCTTCCTTCTTTTTTGTGATGTGGCAGCCAGAACTATGGCTTCCAGGGGCAGGGGACCAGGCTAGCCTACATAAATGGGACAACGTCTGGGCCATTTTGGAGATTCCTAAAGGGAACTAATCCTTTTGTTAGATGGTTGATCACTCAGACTCTGTGGGAGATAGGGACAGACACCACGTGGCTCCCATGGCCCCATTAGCATCTGAATCCCTTGGGCCCCAGGGAGCAGGCAGCAGGGGACCAGCCTGTGGCCTTGGGAGTCAGATGGGCTGACCAGCCACGGGACTGTGGGCAAAGCTCCTCCTGGAGCGGCGCACTCAGGGGACGTGTGTGTGATGATCACCTGTGATTACTGCCATCACTGCTGCTGTCTTTCCCCACTCCTCCCCGACCCTGGCAGAGACACCTGGACTGGATCCAGTCTGCCAGCACCTATCAGGCATCTGCCCTGTGGCAGGAGGGAGAAGGCAACAGTGAGAATGATCTCAAGGAACACTTGAGACTCAACACAGGCAGGACTCGGGAGGAGTACAGAGGAAGAGAGGAGTTTTCCACAGTTGTCTGAGTCTTCAGAACGCTTGTCCTCAAATGTCCTGCCAAGATAGACTGTTGGTACAGATATACCACAGCCTTAAAACACAGTGACAAGACAGCCCTGGAGGAAGGGCGTGCCAGGGCATGTGGGCTTCTAACCGTCTCGTCTTTAAACATGGCCTTGGATGCCATTGCTGCTGCTGCAGGCTCTATGGGAGTCTCTTTTCCAGCGGGGGCCTCTAGGGAGAGCTGGCCCCGCAGGTACTAGGTGGGTGGGTGAGGACCTGGGTGCCCGCTGCAGGGCCCATGCGCCTTAGGGCGGCCTGGAGCTGCATGCTCTGGTCCTCCCATGGGTCTCCCTGGTGTCACCTCCCTGGTGTCACCTCCCTGGTGTCACCTCCCTGGTGTCACTGCTCACACTCTTTCATGTTTGGCTGAGACCTTTTCTCAGAGCAACACCTTTGCGTTCAGGTTCCAGAGAAAGCGAACCAAAAAACATGCCGTGGCCAAGGCTCTGTGGCTGCCCTGCTGGTCTGGCCACACTCTTCATTCCATACCAGAACACCCAAGGTGCGTCTGCAGGAACAAGCTATTCTGAAACATGCACCGTTGGGAAACCTTTTTGCTGGGCACACATAGGATATCCACGGAGCCCATCTGGAAAACACCAGCCTAGCTTAATGAGCTTCTGCTTTCAGGGTGACTTCTTGAAGCCACTAATTAATTAGTCGTGGGGAAAAACCAAACTTCAGAGCCAAGTCTGTGTGATGGCAATGTGTGGGAACACTTACCATCACCTGTGACCTCCAGAGACCAGCTGTGCCCTGAGGGCGTGCACCCCACCTGCTCTGCACAACAGAGTTCAAGGAAAGTGGCCTGAAGACGGCTCCTGTGAGTTTACCTCTGCCTGCGTAGTGCATGTGGGGGCCACATACCCTTCCCTCAGCATCTGGCAGGGGGCAGCCATCACCCACAGCCCTCCCATGCATCCCTATCTCAAAGCTAATGTTGGAAAGCTGGAGTCTTTCTGTCTTCCACAGCGCGAGGGTCCCGCGGTCCCCCCGTGCCATCCCCGCATGCTGTGTGCAGCCCTGAGTGGCCTGGAGCTGGAGGTGACCTCCGGGGAGAGCAGGGGCAGCACTTACCCCCCTCCCGTGCCGCCGTTCTTGCTGAAGTGCGTGCGCGGCTCGCTGGAGGCCAGCTTCAGCAGCTCCGTCCACTCCCGCTCCCATTCCTCCTCCGTGTACACCAGCCCTGACTGGCAGAGGGAGCCGGCTCAGGAGCAGGGTGGGCCACTGCCATGCTGCCCTCCTCTCCTCACCCTCCCCACCCGGACCAGCCTCACCAGGACCCAGGCCAGGCACATCTGTATGTAGCTATCAACTGCACCCTCTCGCCCACCTTTGCTGTGCACACTGTATTTTCAGAAGCCCCAAGCTCTAATTCCAGAGCTGTTGGGAGTCTGCCCACCAACAAGGGTCATTCTCAGGGGCTGCGGGTAACCGAGCATTAATCTGTGTGTGTATCTAGCTGTGGCTGGCCATTAAAAAGTTTAAAGGGATACTGCATCGACCGTAGTCAGAAAGCAGGAGATTCTTCTAGGAGAGCAAGTTCCTCTTGTTTGCCATGGTTGGGACAATCGGGAATCCCTTTGGACTGAGCTCACACACTGGGGCTGGAGCCATGGGCTGCCCCTGACAGCAGGTGGTCGTATATATAATTCATCATCCAAGCCGGGGTGCTTTTGGGAATAAAGGTAGGCAGCTTTCATAATCATGCCTTAAGGAAGCACAAGTGGACACATGGTTGCTGTCTGTCGGGACTGTGCCATTTCAACAGGCTCTTCCTCCATGGGCTTAAATGCAGGAGACTTTCCTGATCCCAGGGGCTGTTTCTGCCTCACCTCATAAGACAGTCTTGAGCCTGGGGGCCATGCCAATGGATACCAACCTCCTTATTCTGCTGCGTCTGCTGCCACCTCCACCTCCGCTTCAGGGCTTCCCTCTCAGCTCCCGTCCTCATCATGGTGTAGAGAGCTTTCCGTAACACCAGGTCCCGGTCATGAAACCCCCACATTCCTGGAGCCAGGAGGCCATGGACAACAGAGGGGAGAAAGGACGTGAGGAAAAGACAAGCCAGAGGTGATGCAAACCACCACCACCCACTGGGATGACCTCCCATCTGCACGAACAGAGGAGCCTCATTACTCAGTGGTTCTGTTAATTCCCCTCCAGCCTTCTTCCTGAGGCTTCCCATTAAGGCAAGCAGGTGAATGAAGCAGCACATCCTGTTCTTGGCAAAATAATAGTGGGTGAAAATCTAGTGCTTTTCCTCTCTGGCACCCTTGGCAACCCACTTTCAATGTTGCTGGTTTGCTTTGACGACCTAATGGTCATTATCCAAGTCTTGCATTTGGGTGGGGGACTGACTATGGGACAGGGACAGGCTGTCCAGTGTTCTCACAGGGGGCTCCAGGAGAGGGCGGCCATTAGCATCCTGGCTTCTCCAGGGTCTGCCATTTCCCACCTCTCCAGCCCTGAAACATCTCAGCTTCCCGAGAAGCAGAGCATCAGTGACGATGCTCTGGCCCAGGAGAGAGTGCCTGCTTCCCAGCAAGAGGGTCTCACCCTATGCCAGGTGCTGCGAGGATGTCATCTCCGAGAATGTGCTCTGAGGGGCTCAGATGTGGTCAAGAAACCCAACTCATGGGAGAATCGCTGAAGAGAAGGGCGGCCCTGGCTACAAAGGAAAGCACTGGGGAATCCATCCATCCATCCATCCATCCATCCATCCATCCATCCATCCATCCACCCACCCACCCACTCATTCTAGGTGCTGGGAATATGTGTGGCGGTGGCCATGAAGTTCCTGAAGTCTCATGGAGCACATGTTGTGGGGAAGTGGGGAGTGGGGCAGCCATTAGGCTGACACAGAGTGTATGATGTTGAGGGTAGCAGCCCCACAAGCAGAGGTGAGGCAGGCAGATTTGCTGTGGCATGAATAGAAACATAGGAGCAGACTTAAATGGGTGGAGGAAGGAGCGGAGTTGCTGTCCCAGGCACACAGGCACAAGGAAAGGCCAGGGACAGATCTGGAGGGGTCAGTACTTGAGAAAGGGCAAGATGGAAAGGTGGCTAGAGCAGGATGGAGGGGACAGGGAGAGTGAAAAGGGGGCTCTCAAGGGAGCTGGGAGCCTCTAAAGTGTTTTCAAAGAAAAGCAACATACACTGACATTTTCAAAGGCTCGACCAGCTGGGTGTCCTTGGATATGCAACAGCCCAGGCCTGCCATGGGCTTCTAGCCAGCAAGGTGCTGCCTTTTTCTACAGGATGGCAGGGGAGGGGGAATGGCCATTGTCACTCCTAACTCATCCTCAGGCCTCTTTCAGCGGCTTCCTGGGACTCTCCCACAGCTCCTTGGGCAGGTCTCTCTTGCAGAGAGGGCCTCTTTGTCCTGTACATGTCTGCCTACAGGCCTGACTCCAAGATTACTGTCATTTCCCCACAATCCTAGCTTAGCGTCAGGCCAGGCCAGCAGGGGTTCCACAAGCACCGCTGGTGAATGTCACGTGGCGGCTTTGGGCAGCTCCAGTCCTGTGGAGTTTAGCCATTGGGCACAAGATGAAACCAAGTGCTGGGATAAGAGGACAGACTGCTGTGAGCTCTGGGCTCACTGCTGTGCCAGGGATGCTTGCCGGGGGGTGGGGGGTTGTCTCACAGCCCTGGCTGCTCAGGGCCCAGGCTCTCTTGCAGGTGGGAATGAACAGCCCGAGGGAGGCTCTCCCTTCCCAGGCAGGCCTGGGAGGCCCACTGTGCTCACAGGGGGAAAATGATGGCCTTGCCCCCTGTTGTGCTGATGGGGACAATGACTCTACACGCTGCAGCTGCTGAGTGACAAAGGCATTTCCATGCCCAAGATTTCGGAACAAGGCTGCTGTTTGACACAGATGAGAGATTCATTCTTTTATATTCTTTCTGCAGGTTTTACCAAGAACAAGGTAAAATACGCTCAATAACAGGAGAACAGTTAATATTAACCATTACGATGAAATATGACCTAACTACTTAAAGTCATGTGTTTGAAGGATAACAGCATGGAACGCTCTCAAATTTTAAGGGAAAATGTGGGATTCGAGACAGTGAACGTAGCAAGATCATCATTTCATTTGAACAGACAGAAGACTGGAAGATGGTGACGATACCTCACTGATAAGAGTGGCTACTGCTGGGTGGGGGCATTACTGATTTTCACTTTCTCACCGTGGTGAATGTGGGGGACTTTTGCAATGCCAACAAGCAGGATGTGCTCTAATGACGTGGAGACAAAGCAGGTGAGTGGGTGCCTTGCCTTCTCTCACTGCAGGTCAAGCCCGTGGAATGCTCCCTTTGCTCTTGGTCTCCATCCTCCTCTGGGACCCTTCCCAGACCCCGATTACTTTCCTTGAAGCCCCTTAGAGTCTTATCTCACCTACCTCTTGTGGAATGGGCCTCACTGCAGGTCCAAAGAGAAAGGTCTGGGGGCTGGCCCTTGATTTAGGTCATGGCACCCAGTTAAAGCCACGTTTTTTTTGTGGGATGTGAGTTTGACCAACAAGGACTGCACCCTGTCTGAGGGTTGTGTGTTTTGGAGAGGTGCTATCCTCCACCGGGATAGCCGGCCCTGATCGAGCAACTGGCCCTGATGGTCCCTGGTGCAAACCCAGATTCACCTGTCAAAATGGATTCAGTCTTATGCCTAAAGGGATAACTGAGGTTCCAAAAAGTTGATGATGATCCTCAATTATCCAAATATTTCTGTGTTTGTGTGGCTTTGTGTGATCAGGAAGCTCAGGTCTCTGCTAGACAGGGCTGCTGATCTCTCTGCGGTGTATTCTGACTATGCTGACTCCCTGTGATTTATCTGAGCAGACCTACGTCTCTTTCCATTACTCCAAGCCAATTGTTGACTGCTGTCAACAGAGTGGACCCTCATTTACCCATCCTCACGCACTGTTCCCAAAAATTCCTGCTCCAGCTTTGCCCTGCTCACCCCTACCTCCAACCACCCTGTCCATTCCTGCCCTTATGCTTTGTCTCCGGGTCTCCCTGCCTGCAATGTCCTCTTCTAGTCTCTCAAGTTCCTCAAGTCTCAGTAAAGATCCCACCTCCTCCAGGAAGTCCTCTTTATTTGTACCAGGCAACAGTCTCTAAGTCTCATCCCTGCAGCTATGCTCAAGGCCTCCTTCTATCACACCAGGTTTTTTCTTATGTGTCCTGTCTCTCCACCAAGTGCAGGCTACTTGACAAGAAGGGCCAGGATTGTTGGCTCTATCTCCTGGGGACCTTCTCAGATGACAGTGCCTCTATTTAGTGTACGTCTTTCCTTCAGTAATGCCTTGCGCAGACCTGGAGCCTAGCCGCCGTCTGTCTGTGCTGTGGAGCTTACCCAGTGAGGCGGCATGTAAAAGGCAGTTCCCATCCCCTGTCGTGGCCAGAGGAAGAAGCCGTTTACAGCTCGTGCACACAGTGGACCACCAGTTCAGGCGACCTGGAATAGAAGCTCACTTTAGAACAGGATCCCAGAAAAGGCGGGGGCCAGTGGGGGTGTTTGCTAATGAGGCACAAACATTAGGCAGATTTTCTACAGGTTTCAGTAGAAAGGGAGAACATTATGGCTACTTCTCTCCTCAAATGAAATACAGATTTCTTTTCCCTTTGAAGACAAGAAAAGGCCAAATCCTCCCACCAATTAACACGAGCATTAAGAAACTCAAGGCCAGAACCTTCTCTCCTTGAATCTGGAAACATTTTACATAAGACAAAATATTTCTTTGTAATTTCCTTGAACACAGTTTTCCCTCCTGAGAGCTATTTTTTCCTTTCTCCATCTTGCTCTTTTGATCCACACGTAACTTTGAAAGTATAGTTCGTATTTCATTTGATTCATCAAAACCATCATCGTCACGTAGCTGCGGTCATGTTAAATTTCATGAACATTTACATTTACAGACTTCTTCAGGGAAGACAGAGCAGATGTACCTTTCCTATTCCTCTTACTAAGTACAGTGAAGAGCCCTGGAAATTATGTATTAAACAATACTAGAAGACTCTGAAAAGTGGAGAAGAAGTGGCAGACCAGCTGGGGATCTTGGGACTTGAGGAATGACATAATGGTGGGTTCCCTGGAGTTTCTTTTTGTCTTACGTATTCCAGACTAGATACTCGGGAACCTAGAAACACCAACGAGAGCAGACTGAGAGAGAGAGAGAGAGAGAGAGAGAGAGAGAGGGGAGAGAGAGAGAGAGAGAGAAAGGGAGGAAAGGAGGAAAGAAGATAGAAAAGAAAAAGCATGTTCTCTCTAGACAATATCAGGAAAGCGGCGGCTCAGACATTCCCCTTCTATTCCAGCCAAACACCACAGAAAAAATTATAGCCTGACTACCTCCCCTGCCAGGAAAGGTCTAGTGGGAAGCCGAGATTCCCACCCTCACCAAGCTGTAACAAGGTGCTCCTCACTGCCTGCTCCACTGCCTGCGGGTATCAGAGAAGGCTGAGTTCAAGGCTAAGTCTTCAACCCTACTGGGTGGTAATAAGCACCTTGCCCTCTATCTTCAGAGGACATAGAGAGCCTGGATTTTCACACTCATCTGACTGCAGTGAGAATCTCTGTCTCCTCTCAGCTAGGAAGTACTCCTGCCAAGTGGTACCAAGCCCATTCCCCAGGTACCAACAGGGGCGCAGGGAGAACCTGTACTTCAGTGACCCTCAGGCAGTTGTCAGGCAATGCCCCCATGAACCTACCAGAGGAGTGTCAGGAGGTCTGCTAAAACACAAGAGTTAAGTAAGACCAGGGTCCTATAATTTAATACCAAATACATCCCCTTTAAAATAAAAAAAATCACTTATACCAAGAACCAGGAAGATTTCAAACAGAACAAGAAAAGATATGAAAAATGAGATGACAGATGTTATAGTTACCTGACTGGGATTTAAAAATAGTCATCATCAGAATACTTCAACAAGCAATTACAAACATGCTTAAGACAAATGAAAACAACAGAAAATGACGCAAGGAAACAGAAAGTCTCACCAAAACAACAGAAGATATAAAACGGAGCCAGATAAAGAACAAAAATGTGGGCAAATGTAACGGGAACTAAAAAATACAATTCTAATTTTAAAAACTCAATGGACGTGCTCAAAAGCAAGATAGAGACAAGAGAAAAAGAATCATTGTAATGTAAAGGTAGAACATAGAAATTACCCAATCTGAACAACAGAGAAAACTTAGACTTAAAAAAGCACACATACAGAACACAACTCAGGAACATGAGGGATTGTGACAAAGTCTGGAGTCCCGTAGAAGAGGGGAAATAGGGCAGAACTAAAAAAGCATTCAGAGAAACCATCACTAAACATTCCCAATGTTTGCAAATGACCAAACATACAGATTCAAGAAGCTGAGCAAACCCTAAACAGAAAAAAACTCATAGAAATTCATGCCGAAATACATCATAGTCAAACTTCTAAAAACTAAAGACAAAGAAAGAAACAACACCTTTCTTTATATGGGAAAACCAATTCTGAAGACAGTGGATTTCTCATTAGCTGCTTCCAGAAGGAAGCAGAGTAACATTTTTTTCCTTTTTTTGAAACAGAGTCTTGCTCTGTCACCCAGGCTGGAGTGCAATGGTGCAATCTCAGCTCACTGCAACCTCTGCCTCTCTGGTTCAAAGATTTTCCTGCCTCAGCCTCCCAAGTAGCTGGGACACAGGCATATACCACCAAACTTTGCTAATTTTTGGTATTTTTTTTAGTAGAGATGGGGCTTTAATCTGTTGGCCAGGCTAGTCTCGAACTCCTGACTTCAAGTTATCTGCCTACCTTGACCTCCCAAAGTGCTGGGATTACAGGCATGAGCCACCACATCCAGCCAGGATAACATTTTTTTGAGCACTGAAAGAAAATAACTGTCAGCCCAGAATTCTAAAGCCAGCAAAAATATTCTTCAGTAGTAAGCAGGAGACAGATACATTCTCAGATGAAGGGAAACTAGGATATTTTGTTCCTAGCAAGCCTACCCTAAAGAAATGGCTAAAGGAAGTTCTCTAGGCAGAAAGGAAATTATAAAAGGAGGCATTTTTGCATATAAAGAAGGAAGAACATGGAAAGAACAAAAATATGAGCAAATATAAGACTTTCCTTCTCCTCTTGAGTTTTCGATATTATATCTGATGGTTAAAGCAAAAATTAATGAGATTACCTATCTGTTTATATGTTTCAATGTATGTTGAGTAAGTATTTAAAACAATTTTATTATAAATGGCAGAGAATAAAGAAGCAAAAATGCAGCTATGGTTTATATGCTTCACCAATAGTGGTAAAATGTCAGCACCAATAGACTTTGATAAGGTATGTGTATATAATGTAACAACTAGAACAGTTCCCAAAAAGGTTAGAAGCTCCTCCAGAAATTGCCCAACAGTATCCTGATACCAAAACCAAACAAAGAAAGTACAAAAAGAGAAAAGCGCAGAGCAACAGCTCTCATGAATATGATACAAAATTCATAAGGAAGTATAAACAAATAGAACCTAGCAACATACTCAGAGAACTATTTGCCATGACCAAGGGATGCAAGGATGGCTCAATATTTGAAAATCAATCCATATAATTCACCATATTAATAGGATACAGAAGAAAAATCACATAATCATATCATAAATGCAGAAAAAGCATTTGACAAAATTCAGTACTCACACATAATTAAAACTAGGAATAGAGGGTATCTTCATAACTTGATTTAAAAAATTGACACAAACATATAGCTGACATCATACCTAATGGTGAAAGACTAAATGCTTTACCTCTAAGACTGGGAAAAAGACAAGGATGCCCACCACTCTCTCCCCTGCTATTCAACATAGTACAAGAAATCCTAGCCAGTGAAATAAGTCAAGAGAAAGAAATAAAATCTGTATTTGCAAATCAGACAGGAAGATATAACACTGTTCTTATTAGCAGAGAACATGATTGTTCACACGGAAAATCTTAAGAAAGCAAAAAAAAACCCCAAAAAACCATAATAAGCAATTTTTTAAGGTCACAAGATCAACATACACAAATCAACTATACAGTTATCCCCTAGTATCTGCAGGGGATTAGGTGCAGGTTCCCCCAGCATATACCAAAATCTGTGTGTACTGAAGTCCAGTCGTTGGCCCTGTGGAACTTGCATATGTGAGGAGTTGGACCTCCATATACGTGGATTTTTGATGCTTATTTGACTGAAAAAATCCACATATAAGTGGACCTGTGCAGTTTGAACCTGTGCTGTTCAAGGGTCATTCAATTGTATTTTACCTACTAGTACAGATGTCCAAAGGGCCAAGGAGCAACTGGAGTTTTCAAACTTTGCTGCTGGGATTGTAAAATGGCACAATTATTTTAGAAAAACGTTTGGTAATTTCTAATACGGTTCAACATACTCTGATATGGGTTGGCTCTGTGTCCTCATCCAAATCTCATCTCGAGTTGTAATGCCCATGTGTCAAGGGAAGGACCTGGTGGTAGGTGACTGGATTGTGGGGGCAGTTTCCCCTATGCTGTTCTCATGATAGTAAGTTCTCATGAGATCTGACGGTTTTAAAAGTGAGTTTTCTCTGTGCTCTCTCTCTCTCCTGCTGCCTTGTGAGGAAGGTGCCTTCTTCCGTTTCCCCTTCTGCCATGATTGTAAGTTTTCTGAGGCCTCCCTAGCCATGGGAACTGTGTCAATTAAACCCCTTTTGTTTGTGAATTACCCAGTCTCAGGTGGTATCTTTATACAAGTATGAAATGGACTAATACCTCTACCACGTGACCCAGCAATTCCACTCATGGATAGTTACCCAAGAGAAATGAAAACATAAGACTCATTCAAGAAAAGTCACAGCAGCCTTATTTCTCAATAAAACTAGTGCTAACACATCTGGGATTGTTTCTCTGAAATAAATAGCCATTGAGAATTACCTTGGGTTCTATTTTCTAGTGAACCTATGCCAAGACATCTTCATTCACTCTTTCAGGAGGATGTACTTCACAAAATGAGGGTGGAAACCAAAACCAGAAAAATACAGGAAACAGGAGGGAAACGGGTAAACAGCACAGAGGAGGGGCAAGGGCAATCTCCAGGCTGATGGCCACAGGAGACTCTATGCCACCTGATGACAGGTGCATCTGCACTCATCACTGCTTTTCAAAAGAACGTGTCTGTGGAAAGGATAAATAGCCTGGCTCATATGTGTTAGGGGCTGACACAAATGTTATCTTACATATCACTTCTTGGATAATATTAAACTTGTTTTAAAAATTGCTTCGACTTTATGAATTGTTTCTAATGTTATGTGAAATGACTAGTGACACACATATATATGTTTTTATTTGAAGCATGAAATATTACATGCACCTCCCTAGGGCCTTCAACACTGTGAATTTCAATCAAAGGAGAATGTTTATAACAGATATTTCCAAGAAGTTGTAAAAATATTTTAATCGAAAATTCTTTTTAAAAAAAGAGAGTAATATTAACAGGACTTGAACAATTGAAGAAGCGAACATGTTTTACATTTTTACATGCCATCTGTCAATGGCTAAGGAAAATGTGGTGTATATAGACAGGAGAATTACTGTTATTTGTTAAGTAGAATTACTCTATTCTGCTGTCAAACATTGAAGGTATTCCTTCTTGTATGTTTGTACCTTTAACCCACTTCTCTCCATCCTCCCCACCACTCACTATTCAGCTATTAACAAGAATGACGTCATGCATTCACAGCAACATGGATGAAACTGGAGGTCATTATCCTAAGGGAAATAAAGCAGGCACAGAAAGACAAATACTGCATGTTCAGAATGATATGTCGGAGCTAGAGATTTGATCACATAGAGGTAGAGTGTGCAAAGACAGATGCCAGAGACTAGGAAGGGTGAGTGGTGGGGAGGATGGAGAGAAGTGGGTTAAAGGTACAAACATACAAGAAGGAATACCTTCAATGTTTGACAGCAGAATAGAGTAATTCTACTTAAAAAAATGTGTTGTATTTGGGTGATGGACACCCTGACTTGATCACTATACATTATATGCATGTAACAAAATTTCAAATGTACCCCATACATTTGTACAAATAAAAAAATCTAATCTTAATAAACGTTGCTGCTATCAGAATAGAAACAGTGAAATATGAAGGATAAAGACTGTAAGTAATGCTTGAAAA